TTTTATTTTGAGCAGCGATAAAAGTGTTTAACTGCTGCCGTTGCTGTTTGCTCTCATCCGATTTGTCCTTAAGCAAAGATGCAAATGATGGTGTGGCTGTTGGTTTTATTTCTTTCAATTCATTAATTTGTTTTACCAGTAAATCAATTTTGTCTTTCAGGGCTTTTTCTCTTAATTCACTAGATTGTTTCTCTTCCACTAGTGCAACAAGTAGAGCTGCGATCATAAGAGCAATATCGTAACTTTTAATGAGAGTAACATTTAAATCCTTTAGATCTACTGCCGCTTTAAAAGCGTTGGTAGCTATTTCTTCGATTGCTGACATAATTAGCAATGAATGCAATTAATAATTGCAAGTTTTTAAATTTTTAATATTTGTTACAATTTATTACAAATTTTAAAAATTTAATTTAAAATTTGAAATTTCAATAAAATTGATATTCTATATGATTGTATGAATATACCTTAATATATACTTTAATATAATAAATTTATACGTATATAACTTACTAATATTAGTAATTTGATTACAAATATTAGTAAATATATAGTGATAAATTTTCCGTAAATATATTTATTAATTGATAATAAATTTTGGATTTTGTCAAGGCACAAAAAATGCAAAAAATTAAGTAAGAATTATTTTATATATATATATATATATATATATATATATATATATATATATATATATATATATATATATATATATATATATATATATATATATATATATATTTATAGGATTAAATTATCATTATTTTTAAAAATGTAAACATGTGTTTTTATTAAGTTATCTTGAGAGAATACAGTAAAAGCGGGTAGAATGAAATAGAGAATAGAATGAAAGAGTTATGACAATTTTTATTCATATTTTCAAAATTAAATTTGCTATTTCCTGTAAAACGTTATGAGCAAAAGTTGAAATAGTTAACTATGGGGTTAAATAAAATACCTAATTTATTCGCTTGGTAAATAGGGGTTTTGTTAAATTTAAAAATCATTTGTTAGTTTAGACAGTTATTTATAAATAGCTGTCTAAACTAACAAATGATTTTTTATTTTTATTTTAATTATTATGAAATCTATTCAAATATAAAATGTGCTTCGAAAAAACATGCACGCAAAAAAAAAACAAAAAACGAAGCTGCTTAATTATTCATTTTAAGAGTAGCAACTTTAGACCTGTCAACAACATAGGTAAAAACAATTGGCATTGGTTAAAACTTATGTTTATCTTGCGCCATACATTATCTAAATAACGTTTGTAAAAAAATTAGCGCTTAAGTGGTCTAGAAGATGACGTACACGCAATATCACAATCCAGAAGGATGAAAGATAAACAATTTATGCAGTGGCTTAAGGTGAGTTTATACTCATCCGTTTTTTTGCGGGAACGGAAAAAACAATCACGTGGGCATGCGTATTATAGGCCGAAGTAAGACTGCGCATGCTCACGTGATTATTTTTTCCTTTCCTATCCCGTTCCTGTAAAAAAACGAATGAATGGAAACTCACCTTTACTAGCCTGTACGTTCCCGCGATGAAAAAAATCCAGGTAAATAGTTTAGTCAATTTGTTAAAACTTAGTTTATACAATTAATTATTTAAATAAATAAATCAAACTTCGGTTATCCAATTAATGGTACTTATATTTTATTCGTAGATGGACACTTGACACATGGTACCTATCGGGTTGTACTCATTTTTATCGAAAACAGTATCTTGTTAATTTGCTTACCAGCTCATTTCTCACATATTCTGTTTTTTCTTTTAATTAGGTCTAGATTTTATGATATTCTTTTGAAGAGGTTGTGTAGGAAAAATAATAAACCGGTGACAGAAGTGGGGAGGGGGAGGGAGTGGTTAATAACTGCTTAAAAAATGGTGACGCAATGGTAACAAGAAAAGGTTTTTAGGCTTCTATAATAGTAACACGCAATAATAGTAACAATTTTTTGTTGCTACTATTATTGCGTCACTATTTTTATACATATTATATAACATTGCGTCATATTTTGAAATAAAAAAGTAGTTAATTATTCTGAAAATATATGCAGTCACGTGAACAGAGCATTCAATTTATTGTCTTAATTGTGTCAGCCATATTTAAATAAATAATTGAACTTGTTTAAGACTAAAATAAAATTTTTTACACAAATAAAAATATGTTAATTTGCAAAAAAATAAATTGAATAACTTTTTTCTGATAAAAAGCAAGAAAGTACTTCAAAAAGATAGATAGCGTTTTGCATTTTTAAATTTTATTTTGTTTCATATAGCGGCAGCAGCTATTCAATAAAATGTTTTTATTATTCAACAGTTAGGTACTACTCAATACATTTTGTATTGTTAACATTATTTAACGATTTAAATTATAAATGTTACATTTTAAAAAGCAGATATCAAGCTATCTTTATAAATTTTGCAAATCTCGCTTACCGACAAATAACTCAGTCTGAAAGCAATAAATATGTTCACATAATAACCTATTAACGATTATATTCTGCGTTTATAGTAATACTTTTGCCTGTTTAATTGTAATGGGTGGGGGTTAGAATAGTCAGAGGGAGTGTAAAGAACAATAAATATTCGTAGATGGGATATTGTAATTAGGTTCGAAGCGAGCACTGGGGATATTTCGCGCCATTGGTAAGGAAGGATGCGTGAACTTCCTATTTAAATGCTCTTTCGACTTGCTCTGCGACTAGACCGTTAGTCTTTTGGCGCCTAAAAACAAAAAATTAAAAAAGTTTTTTTTTAGTTAGACTAAAAAATGAGACTAATTTTTTAGTTAACTTAAATCAACTAATTTAAGTTAACTAAAAAAATTAGTCGGTTAGTTTTAGTTAGATTAAAATGTTAGTGCGGTAGATTTAGTCAGACTAAAAAGTTAGTCTGCTAAATTTAGACCTTAACTTATATAGATTTTTTGATATTTAGTAAGTATTTAAGGCGGTTCCTAAATTAATGGGGTCTGGGAATAAATCATTCTGTTGTCAGAGCGTCTCTGCTATCGTTTAAATGTTAAAATATCGAAAGCCAATATAAATTACTGTGTTATATTTATTACAATTTATTTTAGAAAAAAAAAATTTATTCTCATATTTCTACTAAATCGACTTTAAAAATGTATTAGTCGACAGTCGAATTATATATTCGTAACAACACTAGTTAACTCTTTGGTTTAGTCTCTAATATATAATACCTCGGATCTTAAACTTTGTTAAGTCGAATCATTTTTTCGTCCCCTTTCAGCACATTTCCTCGGTTAACGCGAGCTTTTCGTACGAGGAATTAAGAAATTAAAATAACTTGATTACAATTTTTCTTAAAATTCATTCTATATAAAACATAATTAACAGTAGCTTAATATTTTCTATTTTCTTGTTGTATTTAGATCTGAATAGAATCGATCTTATCAGACGTAAAATAGTGCTAAAAACTAAATCTTAGTAAAATAACTTTGAAAAAGTTTAAAAGTCATAACTTTTTTAATGAAGGATCGGCAATTTTTAGATGTTATTACCAAAACATAAAGAAGTCATCGTGTTGCTTAATTTTTTAAAATGTTATTTTTTATGTGTACAAAGTGAATACGTTTCTTTTACTGAAACATTTCTCACGCTTTTGTTAGTATAATGGCGTTTATTTGGACGTCTTTGAACGGAAAGGAACCTAGCGCCATCTGTATGGTTTTCTTTCTATTTATTACAGTATAGTGGATAGAACATTTTGCTTTTTTTCTTGATCTCTTCCTGCTTATTGACACTATAGTTAGTAATCTAGTTCTATTCCAAGCGCCATCTGTTTAAAGACGTCCATTGTTTATACTTAAGCATTGAATAAAAAAAAATCGCTTTAACTTAAACTAATACCTCATATTAGCCAAAGTTCGACTTGAAGGAAATTTGCTTTAGTAAAAGATTCAATAAATCGAACGATTTTCCGTGGTCGCTTGGAGGTTTGAGTTCGTATATAATTTCAAGCGATTTAATTACAAAAAACTAAAACTAAAATAATAGAGTATATACTTTTAAATATGTTAGAGCATAATCATGTTATTTGCTAAGAAAACTAGTTTGAACAAAGGTTTCCTTTTAGGTTGGCAGACGTGGTCCAAATTAGTGATTGGCTGATTCGACCAACATCTTCTAACACTAATATTCATCTAAAAATATTGTATACAAGGACAGAATTTCTACTTGTAATGAAATTCACATTTCATCTGTAACGTTGCTATGAGCTGAATAGACAATATATAATTTATGTCCTTTTTTATTTATCTAAATAAATTAGGAAATATGTTTGCTTTTAGTAGATTTCTAGACTTAATGTGTCTTACATCAGCTCTAAGTTTTTACAAGATATCCTCTTCCTTTATTTAAGTTTTTACAAAATATCCTCTTCCTTTATTTAAGTAAGTTTTTACAAAATATCCTCTTTCTTTATTTAAGTAAGTTTTTACAAAATATCATCTTCCTTTATTTAAGTTTATATTAGCTTCAAAAATTAAAAAAAAAAAAAAAAAGCACGGCGAATTACCTGCAGCTTGAGATATTATGAAAACTGGTTTTTCGCTTGATTTTTTATATTAATTTCATCTAAAAATATTTACAAGCCGTCGTAAATACTTTACAAAATTGCTTTGTAGTAAAATGACCAAAAAAAGTTTTTCTTAAGAATACTTTCACACTTTTTTTTAGCTCTAAATTATATTACGGTACATCTTATTAAATCAAACTTCTTAGCTATTATTACCACATTTAGAGCATTTTTTTAAACAAAAAATTTGAAAAAAAAACGTGTGCGTTTTAAGCATGCAAGCAAACAAAAATAATTTTTTTCTGACATACATGTGACATAATAAAGGTCACTGTTTGAAATAACTTTTTAAATTTAAAAACATACTAAATATTTTTTATTCGTTTTGAAATTTAAAATGATTTTATTTTTAACTAATTTATTTTTAAATAAAAATTTAACTCAAACAAAAAAAGTAACAACAAAATATCTGATATATAAAAATCATCAAGACTTAAAAAAAACTATAACTTTATAAATAAAACGTATTGCTTTACAGTTTTACCTTAAAAATCATCGATGGTTAAAGAATGAATAATTCAATAAAAATTGAATTTCATACGATAATAACTCAGGTTAAGGTTATTGAACTCAATATGGTCAAAAATAATATAACCGCATGAACATTTTGAGCACACACTTGGTGAATACTCATTCATGGGAGTCACCGAAAGTTTTCGTCAGCAAAAAAAGTTAGCTGATAAATACCACTACAATTAAGGTGTGCTATGTTCCCCGTAGTTGAAAAACCTAAAAAAACAAACAAACAATATTTCCACATTTAACGGTGCAAATAAATAAACGAATTAAAAAAACTAAAAACAAGCTAAAATAATAACAAAACCTGCCGTACTTTAGGATGTAAATTAACAGGTTGTAATTCATCAGATACTTGCGAGTCAAGAACGTCTTTTGAAACAATATATAAGTACTCTCCTTGTTCATCAGGTCCGTAATTATAATTACTTCCTATATTCAACAACTGAAAAGAGACAATAACAGATAAAAACTTAAGGCAATTAAGAAAATTGTAGAAAGAGGAAAAAAAAAAGTTAATATTTTTTGAAAGATAATTGTAAGCATATACTTAAAAATCAATTCTCATACTTGTTTTGATTTTTTATTCAACTATTCTGATTTATACTTTTACTTAGCATCCCTTTATTTACTAGCCTTTTTTTGCGTTATGATTAATATTTCAATCTTTTTTTTTGATATTCATCTAAATAAAACATTTTTTTATCCTACTTTAAATTTTTTACAATTAAGACAAATCTTTCATGCCCAAATCTGATTGCATTAACTCTTCTGAAAAAAGGGCAAAGAACTTATCCTACAATACATCTTTTAATTCTAATGGTCACAATTTCCTGATGAATTGTTGTTTTGCAACAAATCCAGAATTTGAGCATAAAGATAATCTTTTTAAGGAGCCATATTAAACAAAACTTGAAAAAACTTCTTCAGTTGAAAATACTTAAATAACTATTACTTGAAAAGCACCTGATCATTCTAGATTAAGCTAACAAACTTACACAATGACGATTTTGATTCAAAATTTAAAAAACCACTATTATGATTGATGTGTCAACATCAAGAAATTATGCATTACCTTACCATGCGTACCACCTTTCCATGCGTAAAAATTGATAACTTGGATTAAAAGATCAAAGTTAAAACTTTTAAAGTTTAAGAAACTATGAGAAGAATGTCATTTCTTACCTCATAGAGAAATGTTTTCGGTTTCTATAGATTTAAATGTTTTTAGAAAAGTTGCTTACATTTGGTTTCAGCTTATACAAATTGTATTTTAAAACAAAGAATTTTTTCTCAACAATTATTTAAAACTACAATTATTTAAATTTACAATTCTTAACATCTATCCACAAGCATTGTGTAAAAAACCTTCCCTTTTTATGCAAGCCTTGGAAAATTAAAAAGTTTTTAGGATAAGATAAGCTTTTGCAATTTTCCAAGCACTCATCTTATATAATTCTTGCTAAGCAATTACTGCTAAGTATTTTTACTGCAATGTCTCTTAAACTTGTTATTATGGCTATAGCTGACTCTAATTGTTACATTTTGAAACTTAAAGCATAAAGTGCCTGAAATAGACTTAGTAAATATAGGGAGACCACTTAATATTGTATTTAAAGATAACACTAAGTTATCTTTAAATAAAACGATACCTCACAGTGTCATAAATAGACTCAAAAGTTATACTTTATTGAACTGGAAGAAAATACCATTATCTTTAGATATTTAAATGTTAAAAGACAAACATTTTTTAAATCATGAGATAAATATTTTTATAAAGTTTTTAATAAAACATTTAACAGCTTTGCTGCTTGAAAAAATTATCTTACGACAAATATTCACAGTCCAAATAGGTTATCATTAGGGACGCATTTTATTATCTAACAACAAATATTCATTTGAGTCCAAATAAGTTATCATTAGTAACGCATTTTATGCTACGTTGTTAACCTCTCAGCATAAAATAAAGTTAAATATTTCAATAGAGTAATAAATAACATATAAATTAAAAGATAATTGATATAAACCTTCCACTGTGATAGCCATGTCTGAGAGTATATTTTTTTAAATATTTTTAAAAAAATATTTAAAAAAATAATTTAAATAAAACTTAATGTTTCCTGTAGTAAAACCTATAATTAGTTCATATTTATACTGCATAACTGTAAAAAATTATAAATAAAGAAGACCCCATTTGTCTTTTTATGTCTTGGATTTTAGGGCCTCAGGTCACATTAGGTAAAGGATAGTCTGACAATATAAAAATAGATGAGATACTTGGTAACTTAGTAGAAACAAGATTTACTGAAGTAATACTTGTTGTAAAATAAAAAAAGAATATATTATCTAGAACCAAAGCTAATTAATTTTTTATTTTTATTTTTACCCCACTCCTCTCTAAAAACGTCTAAATACTCCATTCACCTCCCTATAGCTATTGGGCCAACACAGGTGAGGAATCTTCTTCTTTTATTCTTTTATTTTTTAAAACTGTTACAAAATTGTTATTAAAATATAAAGTTACAATACAAAGTGAACAATATAAAAAAAGTACATAAATACAATATTGCAATATAAAGTTATTTCCTGTTGAATTATTTTATTAAAATATTTTTGTGAACTTATATGGTGACATAGGTTAACATAAATATTTTTATGTTTCAAAGTGAGTAACTCTAACCTATTTTTGTGGATGTCTTTTTTATTACCTTTTTTTAAGTACCTCTTATTTTATGCTGTTTAAATTTAATAACATCAGTGATTTTATTACCACATCAAACAGGTTTTTAAATTTTATCAGAACTTATTATATTTTATTTAAAACAATAACAAAAAAAAAAACACTTTAGAAACTTCTCAGGCCATTAATATATGGTCTTTCTGTTAAAAATGTTTTATGGGGGTTGGAATTTTTTTATGGGTCAAATTAAATAATGCCCAGAAAATCTATTTTTTGTGTATAAAATACTGTATAGTAAATTGTGTAAATAAGGATTAAACGAATTAACTAAATGAAATAACTGACTAAATTGGAAACTCTACAGACGCAAAAATGAGTATTACCTATCCAATCAAACTTATTTATAAATTTTGTGCCAACTCAAGACTGCATTGTTTTTTTCTAAATAAATCAGTGTTTTCCATACTTATTTGTACCTTGAACCCCTTCCCCCCACAATTCAAAATCCTTCACACCCATAGTCTTCCAATTTTTTTATTTACCTGAAAAACAATGATAAAAAAAATGAACTAATGCAAAATTTAAAAAAATAAAAATACAAAAACGGCTGACTGGATGGATTTGATAATAAAAATGAAGCAGGGGATTGATTTTCATATAGGCTTTTTATTCTATTTTTACCAAATTATTATTTTTGGCAAAATTATTCGTTAAAAATTTTTAAACAAGTAAAATAAAAAACCAATGAAAAATTTCAGCAATGACAAAATACTAAAATAAATACTTGTTCAAACTTCCACCCATCAGACATATTTGATATTGTATGAGCTAACTCTTCCTCTTGGCATTGAAGTACTCTGTAAATATGTCTTCTATTTCCCTAGTTGAATACAAACATTACAAAACATTTAAAAACAAAGAAACATGATTTAGATATTTTTCAATTTACTAACTTTGGATGGTTTGGTGTTGATGGTATCTTTTAGTATAGATATTAAAGATTTGATGCTGTAAAAACATGCTTCTTCTAAAACACCTGAAAAGGATTAAAAAATAATTTTTAGAGCAACTATTATAACAATGACTAACAAATCGAAATGGGATATTTTTTTACAATAGAAATTTGATATTTTTATATCATTAAATTTAAATTCACAATTATTCTCTGATTTTCTTAGTTCAGGAAAATCAAACTCCATAATAAAGTAACTTAAAATCCGTAAATTTGTCTTGCTTTTTTGTCAACTTTATCATAGCATATATTCGCTTTGGTCGCGCAATTTGAATCAACTATCAGGGGCTATTTTAAATTGTTTTCGATAGCGTCTAACGTATTTGGGCGCCACCCAAATCAAAATATGAGGATCTTTTTTATTTTTTAAATGTTTTTACAGCAAATATTGTTTTTTTTTTGCGAAAGAACACAGATTTTCTGCTAAAGTTTGCCGGAACAAGGGGTACCGCTGCTTAAATTTTTTTCCTAGAATAGACCCTGACTATGTTTATTATCATAGATTTTAATAAAATTAAATCTTAATAATTTATAAAATGTTTTTCAGAAGCCTTTGGTGAGAACTTTCTCTAAAAATCTAATTTAAGTTTTTCAGAAACCTTTGATACGTGAGAACTTTCTCTAAAAATCTAATTTAAGTTTTTCAGAAACCTTTGATATGTGAAAACATTAACTTTTAGCTCTGATTAAAACCAGATTTATTCTAAATTCTGTATTTTTAAAAATGAGTTATATACTTTTAATTTAAATTTTTCAGAAACCTTTGATATGTGAGAACTTTCTCTAAAAATCTGATTTAAGTTTTTCAGAAACCTTTGATATGTGAGAACTTTCTCTAAAAATCTAATTTAAGTTTTTCAGAAACCTTTGATATGTGAAAACATTAACTTTTAACTCTGATTAAAACCAGATTTATTCTAAATTCTGTATTTTTAAAAAATGAATTATATACTTTTGAAGTTTTATTTTTTATCCTTGAATAAATGGATAACTTTTTGAAAACATTAACTTGTTACATCTAAATTAAACTTATTTTAATTAATAACAGCATACTACACACAAGACTAAAAAAAAGAACATAACTAAAAAGTTTTTTTTTGTACAAATGTTTTAGACAAAAAAAAGAGATAACATAAGCTTATAACAAAAAAAAGAGATAACATAAGCTTATAACAAAAAAAAGAGATAACATAAGCTTATAACAAAAAAAAGAGATAACATAAGCTTATAACAAAAAAAAGAGATAACATAAGCTTATAACAAAAAAAAGAGATAACATAAGCTTATAACAAAAAAAAGAGATAACATAAGCTTATAACAAAAAAAAGAGATAACATAAGCTTATAACAAAAAAAAGAGATAACATAAGCTTATAACAAAAATTTAAAACTATTTTTTTGCACCACATAGATGTAAAAAGTTTTTATAGATAATATAATGAACAGATTGCTTATACACAAACATAGATACATTTTATCTTTTAATTAAAAAAAGTGTCTGGAGTAAAGAGAGTTTGAGGGCATGCATTATTTAGATATGAAAAACTTCTATTACAATTTTTTAAATTTTATTTAAAAACATTTTATTATTTTAATTCAAGGCACATTTTGACTACATATTGTCTTTATCAGTTAAAATATATCTATTAAAAACAGTATAAAATATAGTTTATAATTGTAAAAACAAATATAATAAAAGTCATAAAATTGATTCCTATAAATACAAAAAGTATAATTAAAATTTATTTTAACAAATGTCTAATATAAAAAACAACCAGTAAATAATTTTGAATGGTAAGAGTCATCTTAACACAATTTACTTGTTTATTCATCAAGTTTTATATGTACCCACCCTATATGTACATATGTTTGTGGGCGACTCCATGTGAAAACATCCAGGGCATGTAACCCTAAGTTTCAGATTTTTCTGGTTTTTAAACCACCTAAAGATTTTAGTAAATTATGAACATCCTGAATATTTTACTGTCTAATTTCAATGGTTCCTAAGATATAGCTATTTTAAGTTGGCCTCCAACGAACAGCTGCCATTTTTTAAAATGATTTTGGTCTTAGTTTCTGTTAAATGTGTGTTGGAAAGCTGAAAATTTGTACATTAACATATTTTGAGCCAACAAATCCAATCAAACAACTTAAAATATTTAAAAATGAACATAACACCTAAAATTTAAATGTTTATTACAATTTAACTGGGAGGAGTCCAATCACAAAAATGTAGCTTGATTTTTTTTTTTTAGAAGTTGTCCTAAATAGTTAAATTATGTTATTACAAAGAATTGGAGAGAGGTCTTTTCTAAAACATAAATAAAAACATGGTCAAATCTACTTAAATTTATTGCTTAAAAAAAAAGCTATGTTAATAAATTAAACAAGAAAAAAAAGGTGGTAAATTGACAGTTTTGTAACTGAAACAGTTTTGGCTACGTCAAATTGTTCTTTTAGTTATTGTTGACTAACTGTTTCTGTTTTCTTTGTAATTTTAAAGAATCCTAAAAAATTATAGTTTTAAAGGGCAAGAATGATATAAATGCAGATGTATATCGCAAATTTAGTTTTATTTTCAAAAGTTGTATTAAATAGTTTAGTTGGAGTTATTATAAAGAAGCAGATTGCAGTCTTAAAACAGAAATAAAAACATCTTCAAATATACTTAATTTTATTACTTATAAAACATTAGTTTCATATTTATCAAACTAAGACAAACAAACTTAAAACAAAAAAAAAAACATAGACTCCAAAACAAATAGAGCACTTAAAAAGAAGTTCAAGAAACAAAAGTAATATACAAAATTTAAAAATTAAAAACTTAAAAAAAATTAAAATTTATTAGTAATAGTGTTATAATCGTTCACATCAATGCTATATGTTCACCCTGATTTTGTTGTTGGAACATTGATTACTGCAATCAAACCTGACAATAATACCCAACAGATATCTCTCTGTGGCCAACAGATACCTCTCCAGATATCTCATACCCAACAGATATCTCTTTCAGATATCTTTCTTAAAACTTCCAAATGAAGTTTTAAGAAGGACCGCGAGGGTGCATAAACTTAATTTGAATATCATTTGTAGTAATATCTATCTCTGTAACCATTCCTATCCACCAAAAGGAATCGTACTAGCATGCAACAAAATTCTTTAGTTTTGGTACAATTACAACATCAGACATTACTGCTTTTGACAGTATAAATCTATCAACACATTGATGCTCGCTTGTTCTTTTGAAACTAATTTCAAATTTTGAAACAGGTATATCTTGATGGTACTTCTGGTACCTGGAACAGTTTTGCCTGCTTCAAATCGCTCCTTTAGTTGCTGTTGCCTTGCATTAACTGTTTCTTTGGTAATTTTATTTTAACATTACTACCTATGCAATTCTTTTAACGTAACTTCATATGCCAAGTGGATTTTCTATGGGTGGTTGCAAAAAAATACCTATTCAGCTGTAGTATTGAAATCTTCTTTATGGTGGCATAGATTTATAAATTTTTTAATATTTTTATAATGAGCAGAACATCCATCAGAAAAATAATAAATTTTATTGATACCAACTAAATATTCTTTAGTGTACTCTACAATTTTCTTTTGAAATTCCTACACAACGCAAGTATCATGATCATTGTCATCACTTAAAAAATAGAACAACTTATAAATTTACTTTGAAAATATAAAGCTCATGAAGGTTGCACAATAATATTTTTTACCTGTAGCATGACTGAAAAAAGTTAAGGCTACACTTAAGTTATCTATATTTACTCCATAAGCACATGCTACTCCTTCTTCCATTTTTATGTAGGCTTTGACTAAGTTTCTTTTTGCTGTTACAACTCGTTGATGCTTTGCGACTCCATGAACTTTAATTGTTAAGACTCCAATTGATATTAAAGAGTTGTCTAACTGTTGTTTATTACAAGATTTACCTTTAACAAATCATCACCATCAACTTCACACTCCATTTTATTATAAGAAACTTCATCACAATTTGAAAAAAACTGAATAAATGAGCGAAAAAATTTCCATCCTGTTTTACAGTCTAGGTATTTGGATTTAAGGTTATAAGCCATTTCAAGAGATATGGTTGTTTGAGCTAAAATAAAACCATTAATATATATATATATATATATATATATATATATATATATATATATATATATATATATATATATATATATATATATATATATATATATATATATATATATATATATATATATATATATATATACATATATATATATACATATACATATATATATATATATACATATATATATAAATGTTTATATATATATATGCATATATATATATGTATATATATATGTATATATATGTATATATATATATGTATATATATATATGTATATATATATATATATATATATATATATATATATATATATATATATATATATATATATATATATATATATATATATATATATATATATATATATATATATATATATATATATATATATATATATATATATATATATAGTCCTGGCCAAAAGTTTGGCAACAACAAGTGAGAAATGCATTTTTTCAATATATTCAAAATTTTTATTACACATTTAATTAATTTGATTTAATTATTAACATGTCATTACAGAATGATAGCCTGTCTATGTCTTTCAAGCATTATAATATTTTTTAGTATTAAGTGCACTGTCCTTTTGCTTGGAACACAGCTGGCATGCGGCGTGACATGGACAGTACCAAGTTCTGACAGTAGTCGTTCGTGATTTTAGTAGTCCACACTTAGTTAATTTTTTCCTGTAGGTCCTCAAGTGATGTTGGAGCTAGTGCAGCAACTTTCTTTTTCATGTATATCCATACATTTTCGATTGGATTCAAGTCCGGCGAACTTCCAGGCCATGGACTAAGAGTGGTGTACCCAGACCTTGTGAGCCATTCAGTTACAGCTTTACCAGTATGACAGAGAGCTCAATCATGCTGAAATATTGGTGTGGGTAGATTGTGATGAAATTGGGTAATTTCTCTTGC